TTAATATAATTTTTAAAATTTATAGCGATGTGGGTCTAATGGACTACCCACGATCCATATGAGTTAGCCCTAATGGGTAGCAGACTTTTTAGGATTGGGTTAAAAAAATCTTAAAAATTATAGACTCTAATTTTAAAGCTCAACCCCTATAATTTATCATTTTGATAGCTCTAATACTAAGTATCAAATAATTGTATACTTACAATTACTCACTAACTCGTATATTCTATCATATATTGGTTATATTTTAATAATGTGATAAATTATTAAAATTTTTATTAAATGATAATGCAAAACTATTTTATAATATTGGATACATACCTATTAAACTTTATGATGAAATATGTCAACTTTATTTTTTATTTTCTCGCTCACATGTCTTTTGATTTTTATTTTTTAATAATAAAAAAAATGTATTAAAAATAGAGCACGGTGGATGCTCTATCCTTATACAATAAAATTCACCAATAGAAACAAAGAAAAACAAATAAAAAAGAGATCACTATCCAATTAAATAAACTCACAAATTGTTTTGCCACACTGTCAGATCCACAACGATCTGTCCACTAAACTTGGCCAACGACCATTCCCTAGACACTAAAATAACGGTCTTCAAAATGTCTATCTTCTTCAATCTTCCTTCTTCAAAGATGATATTATTTCCCGTATTCCACAATGTCCAACAAACGGTAAGGCAAAGACGACAATAAAACTCGACCTTGAACTTGCTTAAATAAAGCTTCTTGAAATGTAAGAACATTGTGGTTAACGATAAGTGCTCGCCACAAGACTCAATACCAAGCCAACAACAGATATGTTCCCAAATCAAAATGGCAACATCACAATAGTAGAAGAGGTGGAATATATATTCGTCGGCATTAAAGCAAAACGGGCAAAAGAAATTGATCTGACCTGATCAGAAGGGGATCACGGGCTGGCCACACTCTGTTGGACTGCTGCTTGCTCGCCGGTGATGAGGAAGAGAAGGGGGATGTACCTGCAAAACACTCTGATGCCAAAGTGAGAAGTTGGGCAGAGCGATGGCGAAGTACAGAAAGAGGGGTAAGAACTGTGTAACCTGACCCTCTTGTGGAAGAGGGTATTTATAGAGAGACCCCAGCGCTAGGCCAACGGTCATTTGAGGTGGGCTGGATGACCAGGCCCAACCCTAATGACTGTTAGGGCTTACGTGGCGTAGTGAAGACCAGGACGTGGTCTTCGCCCTAGTCTAACTGCTCCTTAATCTCCGGAAAGTGGGTTTGACCTGCTCTTTCGGAGGTGGGCAGTTGGTTGATGATGTGTCCCCGCGGAGGGGAGCACGTGGAGAACGCGCGCGGGGCACGTTGTCCTCCCCGCGGAGGGAGCACGTGGAGAACGTGCGCGGGGCACGTTGTCTTCCCCGTGGAGGGTGCTCGCGAGGTTCCCCGGAGGGCGTTGTTCACCCCGCGAGGATGTGGAGCAACCAAAGGTCTCGCTTCGACGCACCGAGGTGTGTCCTGTTCGGCCGACAAGAGAGGACGTTGAGAAGTCGTCGGACGCGTCGCCTGTGGCTGGGGGCGTGCCCTGCCCATCCTGTGGGACACGCGTGCCCGGTGTGGCCAGTTCACTTATTGGGTCGTGCATGGTATTGGGCTGGACCGAGGTTGGGCCCAGACCAGAACAGAAATCATTAAAAATAATACATATTTTTTCTAAATTCAACTTTGTGGGAAGTCTATTCAACAAGCATCTTGTTGCACCCCAAATTTGTTCTACCTTTACATAGTTTCTAGTGCCACTTTATTTCGAATGAATAAAATGACACAATTGGCAAAAGACCGTGTGTAAGGAGTTGTGAGTGTGAGATGTGTAAGGAGTTGTGAGTGTGAGAGGTCGAGAGTGCGAATCTCACCTTCTTCACTTTTTGTTTTATTTCTTTTATTTTTATTCTAACTTTTCTATTTTCATAAAAAAAATAACAAAAATAGTTTTTTTTTATCATTTAATTATAATTTTCGTATTTTATTTAAATTATTTTTTTAAAATATTATTTTTTCACTTTTTTCCATATTATTCATAAAAACATTCAAAAATCATAAAATTAAAAATATTAGAAAAGATTTTATTATTTTTATAATATTTTTAATGTTTAGTAAATAAATAGGGTTTTAAGTTTGTTTTAATGTGTTTAAATTTTATTTAGTTTTAACTAATTCTTTAAGTTGGGTTTTAAAGTGGGCATTAGGTTAGAGTTAACCCTAATTTGTTACCTATATAAACATGAGTTGCATTTGAGAAAAGGGGGAGAAGGAGATTTTATTCTTTTTATAATATTTTTAATGTTTAGTAAATAAATAGGGTTTTAAGTTTGTTTTAATTTGTTTAAATTTTATTTAGTTTTGACTAATTTTTTAAGTTGGGCTTTAAAGTGGGCATTAGGTTATAGTTAACCCTAATTTGTTACCTATATAAATATGAGTTGCATTTGAAAAAATGGGGAGAAGGAGACAAAAGAAAAAACGGCGGCCGTTCTCACAACTTACCAGAAGAAAGGAGGAACCCACGAACTCAGAAGGAGAAGAAAGGGACGGTTCTTCGAAGAAGAAGACGGAGCTTCCTTCGTTAATCATCATCATCGCGACTCAGAGAAGCTCAAGCTCTCATCGTTGTCCTCCTTCCAGAACTGCTTCAAATCCCATCTCAAGAATCTGTCGTCGTTACCGTAAGTTTTTTCTTCCTTTGATTACGACACTTTACGATTATTGCATGTTTGTTTTTTTGTAGATGGTAGATGAATAAGGAGAAGGACGAGACATGCAAAGGAAAAAGAAAAGAAAAAGCTCCTAGACAACAACAATGGCTGTCGCAGCCACAGTGGAGAATTTGTAGAGTTTTTTTTCTTTTCTTTCCTAACTTTTTAGATTTAGTTAATATTAAAATGAATTTTCTTAATTAAAACTCCTCTTGAACCAAAATTCTTTTTTTAGAGGTTAGTGCATTATTTTTAAATTAAACCATTTTTAAAAAGAAATACAACAAAAAAACATAAAGATAACATTAAGACCTTTTATTCAACATTAAAGTTTTTTTTTTGAACAAGATTTAAAACTCTTTTATTAAAGTTAAAACCTCTTTTAAAGTTTTTTTTCCAAAATTAAAATCTTTTCTTAAAACAAAAACTTTTTTCCCAAATTTAAACCACCTTTTTAAAATTTAAATCTAAGTTTGTAAATTAAAACCATTATTTATTTAAAGTTATTACAAACCTTTTTAAAAATCTATATATATATATATATATATATATATATATATATATATATATATATATATATATATATATATATATATATATATATATATATATATATATATATATATATATATATATATATATATATATATATATATATATATATATATATATATATATATATATATATATATATATATATATATATATATATATATATATATATATATATATATATATATATATATATATATATATATATATATATATAACTTATAATTAAAAACTATTTTTTATAACTTATCTTTAGTTTATTTTTTTAATAACTTGAAATTATATTTTTTCTGATGACTAATAATTAAAAATATTTTAATATCTTATAGTTAGTATTTCTTTTTTTTTATAATTTATAGTTAGTAACAGTTTTTTATGATTTATAGTTAATTTAATTTTTAATAAAGTGTAATTAAGAAAAATATTTAGATTTCTAATTTATGACGTTCCTAACATTTTTTTCTCAGTTGTATAGTTTATTGATCCTTTATTTTTTTCACTCCATTTTATAGTTGTAATTTACGCGAGGCAATCATCGCTCTTATTTCATTATTATTATTGCATTTTTCATGGATGTAATTTACGTGAGGTCATGGTCGCGGTTTATCTTTTATTTACGCGAGTGATTGTCGCGATGCTTTCTTTATCGCTTTCATTATTTTCCGTACTTTATTTCTGCCGTATAATAATTTGCTATATCTTGCATGATTTGCCGTTAGAATCTCTTCCGAAGAATTAGGTCTAGCTGTTTGACCGCTTCAAAACCCTAATAGCCTAGGTGTTCCGCCGTGGACGAAAATACCCTTTACCCTAGTTTTAGGTCAAAGAGTCGTCGTACTCTGCTTTAGGGTTTCCCGCCGTGTAATCCTTAATTTCAACCTTAATTTTAATTCAACTTTTCAATATAGAAATAGGAGTTTCAAGACTCCACGTAAGCGTGTTCTTAAGATACGTTTACTCCCATTGAAACATTGATCACAGTCAAGAAGTTTCTAACCTCCCTTTCGAGGGGAACTATAATTACTTTGATTTCATTCCCGTCAGGATATATAGGCACAAGATGCGACGTCTTGCCGAATAAACTTAGGAATAACCCTTAGGTCTTTAGGTCACTCTATCTCTTAGGCACAAGATGTGTTGTCAAAAGTCAATAGTATCTCCACTTTCAAGCTTCCCGCAAACAGAATTTTTGAACCAGTTTACATCCATATTAGAAACCATCCCAATGCCTCTAATATCTCTCCACCATAACGAATGTTTAAGTGTCACCAAACTTGTATTTCGAGAATTTGACAGAATGTGACTTTGCAGGAATTCATATCTTGCTTTTAATAAACCAGACCACGGACACTCTTTGTCAACCAATATCCTCCATGTTGTCAAAATTACATTAAAATTATTTGTGAAATTAAGAAAATAGTTAATTTTTAAAATATTTATTTTTAAAATTGCACATATGTTTATGATTGGTTAACCATGTAAATTTTAAATTAAATTAAAAAGAAAACTGCTTTATGATACTCTAGCATTAGCTGGCTTTGCCTTGCCAGAGTATAAATGATGGGCTCGATTATGTTTTCTCGAAAGTGTAGTACATTTTAAACTAAATATTTTTCATTTTCTGCACCACTTTCTTTTACTTTTACTAACACACACCCTCCACACCAGATAGATGGAGTTCAGTTCTGCACAATGTGCACCCTCCCGCAAACAAAGAATGCACCCGCCGACGACCACTCGCCGCAGCTCCGGCGACAAAGCCGCTGAAATCAAACACGACTGGATCTCCGAAGCAGTAAACGGTGGTTCTCTACGCCACGTGGACCTTAACACTGGAACAAACGGCTGGACCTCACCTCCAGGCAACCTCTTCTTCCTCCGCTCCAACAATTACTTCACAAAACGACAAAAATCTCCCGCCGGCGAATATCTTCTTTCCCCCGCCGGCATGGACTGGCTCAAATCCAGCACTAAACTCGATAACGTACTCGCACGCGCCGATAATCGTATATTGCACGCGCTAAGAAAATCACAAGCTCAAAATCAAAATCAGTCGCTAAAAAGCTTCATTTTCGCGGTAAACCTTCAGATTCCCGGCGGTAGGGAACATCACAGCGCAGTGTTCTACTTCGCAACAAACGAACCGGTCCAAACCGGTTCACTCCTCTACAGATTCGTAAACGGCGACGATTCGTTCAGAAACCAACGGTTCAAGCTAGTGAACCGGATCGTGAAAGGACCGTGGATCGTGAAGAAAGCGGTCGGTAACCATAGCGCGTGTTTGTTAGGGAAAGCGTTAACGTGCAATTACCATAGAGGATCGAATTACTTAGAAATTGACGTTGATATTGGAAGCAGTGCAATCGCAAACGCGATTCTTCACCTCGCATTGGGTTATGTAACTTCTGTTACCATTGATATGGGGTTTGTTGTTGAAGCGCAGACGGAGGATGAGTTGCCAGAGCATTTGATCGGTGCTGTTAGGGTTTGTCAGATGGAAATGTCGTCAGCTACCGTTGTTTTAGATTCGTTTCACGCGCCGATTTCAATGGCGCGTGGAATTGGGTTGGCCAAGGTTAATCACCATAAGCCTGAAGACGAAGACGAAGACGACAGCGAATCCAATTTTTAGTTATTATAGTTGTTTATTGTTCATTTACTTTACACATAAATCATTTTCTTTAATTTTAAATTCTTCTGCAAATAGTTATTTTCATTGGAGTATTGCTCAATCTAAAACGGGTGTAAGATCTTAATTTGCACATTTACCATTAAATTAGAAATTCAGTGTGATTAAGGTACGTGATTTACTTTAAGTTAGAGTTAATTTAGAGGAATTTTCATCTGACGTGGAAGGGAAGAGAAGAAAAACTGTAAAGTAAAGTTTGAGACTAGTGTGTGGAAATTGATTGGAATTATTTGCTCAATATTTTTATTATTATTATTATTTGCTTAATATTAATAATATGAAGCATTCATTAATTAGAGTCATAAGCTAGCTAGTGTACCTAACTGAATTAGGCAAACTGATTTTGAAGTTGTAAGGAATCAATGGCAAAACCAAAATAGTGTACAAGTGTAGTGGTTTGATTCTTCCAGAGTGAGATTTCGGAGATAAGATAGTGTATAATGTAATCATCATCGATAAAAAGAAGTTCTGTTTTTCAGTTGATATTGTTAGAATATGATTTTATTTGTTTTTAGCTTAGTTAGTTTTTATTATAGTATGTATAGGCTTTTCTGTTACTTTTCACACTACTATATATATATATATATATATATATATATATATATATATATATATATATATATATATATATATATATATATATATATATTATATATATATATATATATATATATATATATATATATATATATATATATATATATATATATATATATATATATATATATATATATATATATATATATATATATATATATATATATATATATATATATATATATATATATATATATATATATATATATATATATATATATATATATATATATATAATATATATATATATATATATATATATATATATATATATATATATATATATATATATATATATATATATATATATATATATATATATATATATATATATATATATATATATATATATATATATATATATATATATATATATATATATATATATATATTATATATATATATATATATATATATATATATATATATATATATATATATATATATATATATATATATTTATATATATATAAAGTATTCAATATAATTCTCTATTTTGGAGAGTTTTCCAATTAAAAGGAGATTGAATCGAGTATGAATTAGAACTGCAAATCACCCGCAATTAGGCAATTAGATAGGCAAACATAGCAAACTATTCAACGGTTGAGGATATGTTAAGGGCTTATATCTTGGAGAATGGAGGTAAAATTGGAAGGATGATTTATCATTGATAGAGTTTGCCTACTCCAATAGAGTTTGCCTACTTCATAGCTATTATGTGAGTATCGGGATCACTCCGTATGAAACGTTGTATGGATATGTCGATCGCCGTTGTGTGGTCTGAGTTGGTGAAAGAGGAATTCTTGGATCGAAAATCGTCCAAGAGACCACCGAAAAGATTAAGCGATTTGAGGGTTAATGGAGAAAGCTCAAGATTGTCAAAAGACTTATGCAAATAGGCGAAGGCGGCCGTTGGAGTTTTAAGTGGGTGATCATGCTTTCTTCAAGGTTACCCTAAAGTTGAAGCAAAAAGGGTCTTTCTAGACAAGGAAATTAAGTTCGAGATACGTAGAATCGTATCAAATCATGAGACGGGTAGGTGAAGTAGCATACCAATTAGCGTTATCACCTTCATTATCCGGGATGCATGATGTGTTCCACATGTCGCAACTCTAGGAATTTGTGCTCGATTCCTTTCACTTATCCTTCTGGATACGGTAAAAGTGAAAACTGATCTCTCTTTCCAACCCCAACCAAGTTGGATTGTAGAGTATGCAAGCAAGTCATTGCAGAACAAGGAGATACCCCTCGTAAAAGTTCTTTGGAAAGAATTGCATCCAAGCGAGGCTACATGAGAGCTCGAGTCGGAAATGAGGGAGTTGTATCCTAACCTAATTTCGTAAGTTTCAAATTCGAGGATGAATTTTATTTAAGGGGTGAGAATGTGATATCGTGGTTTAATTCTAAATAGATATCAATGCTAATAATGGGATTTGTAAGTAATGATTTTTAATTAATTAAGAATGACATGATTAAAGATTTGGAGAATAAGTCAAGGGCAAAATGGTAAGTTTGCAAGAGCATTATTTAAAGACTTAGGACTTTTTTCCTTCATTTTTCTCACACTATGTCACTTTAAAAATCACAAATGAGAGAGAGAGAGAGAGAGAGAGAGAGAGAGAGAGAGAGAGAGAGAGAGAGAGAGAGAGAGATTATGTCACTTAAAAATCACAAGAGAGAGAGAGAGAGAGCCGAGTATTGAAGGGAAAGGAGGAAAAGTTCATCAAGCCTTCAGTCCATTGTTGTATGTGAATATTTTCTGGATTCTTGAAGAAACCTAGTCAATTTCAGAATACTTCACTCATTTAAGTGAGTTCTAGTAGGTTTATAATTGGGAGGAAATTAGCCTTAGGAGATGTATGAGGGTTTGGAATCAATTGGCTTGACAAAATGCATGTTGAGTGTTCATGTATGTTTGCTTAACATGATGATTTTGGGTGTGATTAATTATTAGTCATTGCATGTGATGTTTATGCCCATGATCTTTGCTTTATAACATGCTAAAATGAGTTAGAATGTGATGGATCATGTTGTTGTGTGTTGTGTTGATGTTAAAACCCGTTTTTTTTTTTGAAAAATTTGCATAATGGAACTAGTTAGCATAAAAGTGCAGCCGCTTGACATATAAATTTTGTTTTAGACTGTAACCAGTTGACATATTAAGCTAATCGGTTACACCTCTTCAGAATTGTTGAGCATAATCGAAATTTGAGAATTTGCAACCAGTTTACATATTAAGCTAACTGATTACACCTGGGGGGACAGAACCAAAATGCTATCGGTTACGTTATTAAGGCAACCAGTTACATGTGTGATAAAATTATTTTCTTCATAGGAATATACCACGGTATTGAGACTGAACAATGAAACTTAATGGTAAGTAATAACCCTAGGTTGTGAAAGTATGGGGCGTTGTAACATTTAACACGACGACACACCTTTGTTGTTGTGTAACGTAAATGTTACATTCAGAGTGAATCATACAGTAGGCTAGTGATGGGGCTGCCCACGCAAGGCCTATGTTTGGTTACCAAATATGGGAAGTCGAATAGTGTCTAAGACCCGAGTTCAATCTATAGGGTAGATGTGATCGGGTAAGGACAATATTGGTGAGGAACTACCGTGACTTGGACACCTGTCAAGATAGGAGCAATTTGTTAAAGTGATCAAATGTTAACATGGAATAAAAAGAAAATCCAATGACTTTAAATTCATCTTTCAAGATTCGTATTCTTCGACTTATGATGACACAACATTATGCGGGCCATCTTTGCTTTGCATCTTTTCACTTCCAATAAGATCACGCGTGGAGTCACATTTTTTTTATTCTCTCCACTCAACTATTTATATTTTGCAGTCATCCATTACATGTGTCTATTCATCACTGCAAGATTCCTGATTTCCTCATCTCCAATCTTCCGAGAATTCAGTTTTTCTTTACTAATATGACATGTGTCCAACATTCATTGTACTGCCTCAAATCAACATTAATAAAAAGAATAAACAAATCTTTCATTTCCTCACAATCTTTTTGTCTTTTCATTTCAAATGTTCTTTCGCCTCTCTCTATTCTCTCAACTTTATTTCCAGAATATTCATACATACTTTCAACCCAGAAAAACCTTTATATAATCATATGCCCAACCCAGAAAACCCAGAAATTCCTTCATACATTCATACGCTTAACCCATAAAACTAGAAACATTTTTCATATCTTCATACATTTACACGCTTAACCCAACAAAAAAAAACCAGAAACATCATTCATACCTTTATACATTCACACACTCAACTCAAAAACCCAACAATTTCTTCATATCTTCATATGCCCGAGCCATAAAATCCAGACAATTTCTTCATATAATCATACTCTAAACTTACATTACCTAAAATAAATCTCCAACCACCTCATACCTTCAAACATTTGACCAAGAAAGCCAAGTAAAACCAGAAATATTCTTGAACACTTCTAAAATATAAACATTCAACCACCAAAATCTAGAACAACACTTCATAGATTCACCTCCTTATTTTTCAAATTTCCTTCATCTCCTTCGGCCCTAATTTTTCTCTCTACCACACCTCTGAATCATTTTTACAATTCTAGTACGGATTCAATTTTTTTTATCTCAATCCGCCAACCCACATTCTCCTCCTATTACTTCCAATGCAACTACCATTACTCCAAATCCCACTCAACTTCAACCAAACCAACCCCTTTTACCCAACCCAACTCGCAAATATCAAATGATATGTTGGATCTGTTCTTCATGCACTGAATAACAATTTGGGCCATGCCATGCTTAATCCTTCTCTGAATAATACTAATTACCATTCTTAGTCTCGCTATGTAAGAGTTGTACTTCGATCCAAAAAAAAATTAGGGTTCATTGATGGAACCTTAATTCAACCTAACAATTCTAGCAGAACCTTCATAGCTTGGGACCGCTTCAACATAATGGTAATGGGTTGGATTACCAACTCTATTGAGAAAGACATATCAGAGAGTGCCCATTGGACTGATTTAACTAACTAAATCTGGGATGAATTGAAATATCGATACCACCAAAGAGACCTCTTTAGATCTCAAACTTACATGAAGAAATATACTCTCTTTCGCAGGGAGACTCCAACATAGCTCTATACTTAGCCACCCTCAAAAAATTATGGCAAGACCTTGACAACTCTAAACCCCTCCCTACATGCACATATGATCAACGATGCTCATGTCTTCTTCTTCATACTATTAAGGATTATCGAAATAACGACAATGTCATTCATTGTCTAAAAGGTCTAATACAACCTCTACCTCATATCAAGAAGGTTTTTTATTTATTAAGTTGACA